GGGGGGAGAGAGGAGGACGGCACGATCCTCCCCAAAGGAAAGGCGCCTGGCCTTCAGAGTGTGCCTTTTCCCTCGCTTGTCGGCGCTTTTTGGCAAACAAAAGACCATCCGCCGTCCCGGGGCAGGGATCCTCCTGCTTTGGGAAAGAAGGGAAATGCTCGGCTGTTACTAAGAGCCCGCGGCTGGAAGACAACAAGGCTTCCCTTTTCTGCGGCGATAAGCCTGAAGAAGCTGGCAAACTTTGCCCTGCTCTCGAGCTCGAAGTCGTTCTTCTTCAAGGCCGGTGTGGCAACAAGTGTCCTGGCTGCTCCGGGCCTCCTGGCTTCGGTTCCCAACGCACAGAACTCGGCCTGTGAACTGCAGGCCCTTTCAGTGCTCATAAATGACTGGAAACCTTGCAAAATGAAAATGAAGTTATTGCTTGCGCGCACTCTCTCTCTCTCCCCTCTGCCCCCTCCCTGCATCTGGGGAGTGCAAGCACACTTTTGCAAATGCAGGGGGTTTTGTTGTGTTTTTTTGCAAGAGAGAAAAACGGAACAGAGATCTCCTTTCACACTTTTGGGGAGGGTCAAAAGTGTCTTCCATTGTGGGGAGCTGGACGAAAGAGAAGGGCGGCAAAACACACCCAGGGCCACTTTGCCAAGGAGGTTTAAACATTTGAGGCAGGGAAGGAGAAAAGTCCGACTATCTTTATAAGGGCAGATAATTTTTTTTCCTACTCAGCCAATGGCAGGCAGTTTACCATCCGATTACACATTAACCTACCCAGAAAGCTGCAGTGATGCAGCCTGTAGTTTGCTTGGCGGGGATCAGGAGAAGGTCAAGTGCTAAAGGACGACCTGTGTGTGTGGGGAGGGGAGGGTGTCAGGATTAAGAGGCAGCACAGAGTGACTTGGCCTTTGTCAGAGTGGGGAGACAGTTGGGGCAGACTTACTGGATGCCCTACAAGGTCTACCTCCCCTTTGCACAGCAAGAGAGAGTTTCACCTCTAAATGCTAGAAACTTAAAAAAACAAAAACACTAGATGGCTTAGGGAGTGTGAATGGTCCGAGGTCACAGATTCTTTATATATGTAAAATACAGAACTGTGAAGAAGAAAGATAATCAACTGCACCTTCGGACAAAGCTGGGCCCCACCAGTTTGTTAAGTGTCTGATGACCTTTGCACTTGGCTCAGCAGGAGTTTAAGAGCAGCATCTTGTAAATTTTTACAGGCCAGAACTTGCCTGTAAATGAAAACATGGCCCAGTTCTCAGCCATTTCTGTGGCAGAGTCCTGCTCCCCCTTTCCCTTCTCACTCCCCTTAGTGCCCCCCACCCCAACACTCCAGCTTTACCCAGTTACTAGAAAGATCACTCAGCTGAAGCAGATGCAGAGGGGTAAATATGGGATCACCCAGTTTATGCCACAGCCAGTTTGCAGGAATAGTACTGGGTGGACCTTATGGAGAGAAAGACTTTTGAAGAGGGACGGAGGCCATTTCTCCAGAAGAGCATTGCTCTTTCTAGCTCACCCCCCCCCCCCCAAAAAAAGATAAAGCATTGCAGGTTTTATTTCAGGAGAAGTTGTCCAAGTCCTTAGGCTCCCATCTCCTCTCTTGTGAAGGTTCACGAAAGAACTTTGGATAGCAAAATAAAATGGGTGACAACTTTTTTTTTTTAAGACAACTTTTCAGAATGGGAGTGAAAAAAAAGTATCAGCTGCAATCCAAGGAGCATCAGAAGGTTGAGCTACCGCAGTGGAACTATTGACTTTCTTTCTTCTGAAAGGGCTACCACCATCACCGCCACATCACAAGCTGCTTTTGAAACATCTCCCCATTTCAACAGCAGCCGGCCATGTGCCCTGGGATACACCGATTGAGGTCCAGAAGGCCAAAGCATCCCTCTGCACACTTTGTAGAATTCATTTCACGGTTCTTTAAAGCTTCAGCATCCCTGTAAAGCCTCTTTGTCGAGGCGAGAAGTGGATTCAGAACCCCAGAAATCTGATGCAGGGCCATCTCTTACGACACACCTAGTGTGTTCTGCCCAGTTATGCAAAGTTTAATTCTGCCATAAAACAATCCGACCGTGGGGTCATGGCATGTCACAGAGTTTTTAAAGCAAAACTCATCTTTGAGGTCAGCCGCTTCAAAATTCATGGACGGGGATGACTCATGAGCAGTTGTAAGGCCTCTCCAAACTATTTGGAAGCTCAAAAAAAACACGTTATGCTGAGACATGAAAGCCTGTATTTTTCAACCTACCTGTAAGAAAAATAAGTGTGGGAGGGTGGAGAGCAATTTTCCACCTTGCATAGGTGCCAAGGTAGCCTGTCACTCCTACCTTTAGCGATACATATACCATGTCATTATACCACCCGCCTTTCAATGCCCAGCCAGATGCTGCTCTTAAATAAGTTTGCTCGACTTCTTTCGTGGACTACAAACTTAACAAAACAGTAAGGAATCAAAAAATGCAGTTTATTATAGTAGATTATTCTTTCTTTTTGATATAACCATAGAGTTGGGGGGGGGGATAAAAGGAAAAGACATAGGGAACATCACACATAGTTAGTTAGTAACTTAAGATATAAAACAGATTTTGCACAGCAAAATATGTAAAAGGGGGGAAAGTAACTGACAAGATTTTTTTATATTTATTGTGGCAAGATTTTACTTTCCATTTTTTTTTAAAAGACAGGATTATCAGTCCCTGAAAATAAAGTGTACTGATTTAATGCCTTTAAACTCTTTGTGAATTTGTGAAGTTACAGAAAATCCAGTTCTGCACCACAATAACAACTGTAAAAAAAATCTGCATCATTTTTTAAAAACCGAGCAGCAATGCCATCTTTTGTAACTGCATAATGGTATTAGCATCTGAGTCAGATTTGTAATGGTTTATCTTTTTTTATGCTTTCAGGTTATATCATAGTGCAATTCAGTCCCAAATATTTCACTTTCAAAAAAAAAAAAAAAAGAACCCAAACCCAACCATACATTTTGAACACAAAATACCCCTATTATTATAAACAAGGGGGCCTCCCCCCTTTTTTAATACTTTGGTTTCCAAATACAGTCAGTGGTATAGCAAGGACTACATATAACCCAACTTATTTTAAAGTTGTAATCACATGCTGCAATAAGCTACTTTTTTAAAAAAAGACAGTCCCATTGTAAATTCTACCCCCTTTTAACATCACGACAGTGAACAATTTAGTGCATAATTTTCTTTTTTTTAAAAAGACCTACTTCTAAACAGACCTAACTCTTCTGAATTTATCTATAACATTCCTTTATCTGTAGCATACATTTGAACTGGGCTAACAGACAATAAAAGCTAGAATTAAATTATATTCTAGGAACCAATAGCATTCCACACTAGACAATGAACAAATGCAAAATGAAAACGTAAAAAAAAGAGAGACAGAAATGAGGCTGATCATTCCAAAATAAAATTTAGACTGCTTTAAGCGCAACAGCATGGTGTTCAAATCCCACAAATTAGAAGGCAATTTTTTTACCACAATTTTTTTTTAAAAAAATGTCTTTCCAAAGTTTTTTTTTTCATTCATTAAGGTGATCACAATAGCTTCTGGCTTCTTTTTTCTGGATTTTTTATTTGTTTTTTTAAAAAAGATGGGTGTTTCAGTGCATTAAAAAGAAGTCTGAAGTTTTGCAGCAACTCAAAGCAGTTTCCAGAGCAGATGCACACTTGGATGGGGAGGAAGAGGAAGAAGACCAAAAACAAAATAATGGAAGTTTTCACTTTTTTGATTGCAGGTCAAAAAAGTGGGGAGGCAATATAACTAAAGAGGATGTATGTCATGCCATCATAGTCTTCAAAGTCCATATCCAAGCAAAAGGAAAAAAAATAATATACCATACATGTCCAGCATGCAAGGTGATTTTTCAATCAATATAATGTCTTTTTCTCTCTCTCCCCCATAGTCTTTTGAAACAGTTCTATAGTTAATTGATGCTAAGACCAAGTAGCAAGCATAATGCATGAGATGAAGATGGGATTCTTATGGCAGGCAAAAAAAAAAGAGAGAGAGAAAGGTTTTCACTGTTTGTCAGCTTAAAAGCCAAAAGTCACATCATGAACAAATGGGGAGGCTGGATGTAGGCTTCTTTTGGCAGGTTGATCTAGATATATTCTCTAGGTTTAGCACAACAGCAGATGGAACTCAGAGAGCTGAGGTTTAAAACTTGTACAACTTTTTTTGTCTCTTTGTGTGTGTCTTTGTCATTTTTTTTGCAAAGTTCAAAACCCATATGAAGAGGGCAGAAAACCAGTATTGGGGAGGGGGACACACCGCAAACTCAAAAGGAGGGGGGCAAACCCACTTCATAAACTGAACTCTCTCTTTTTTTGCTTTTTAATGTGGATGGCAGATTTCAAAAGTAAACTTCATATGAAGAACTGAGTCCATGGTGGGAAACTGAATTTTGTTTTTTGTTTTTTTAAAACGCACAGAGTTAAAAGCCCCCTCCCCATACACACACAAAAGAAAGAAATGGAGAAGGCTGGCTGTCACCAAGTCCACTTTTTAAAAAACCAACAACCTCAAGCCTCAAATCTGAGGTCTTCTTTTAAAAAATGACAAAAAATGAGGATGGCCCGAGTCGAGTGGGTGGCTTTGCAGCGAGCCCGCCCCCCCCTCCCCAAAGTTAACTCGCATGGAGAACTCTTGCGCGTGCGTTTTGTGAGCATGGGTGACCGGCTGTATTTTTGGTGTGTGTGGAGGGGGGAGAGAGAGTTTTGGGGGGAAGAGTTAGGGGGGGGACCACAACTCACATGAAAAACTCTGGAGAGGAGGGGTTGTCGCTGCTGGAGCCGTTTTCTCTGAAGCCAGTGCTGACCAACTTCTCGTATTTCTCTTTGTAGGCGTCCCTCTCCCGGACCAGCCTGGAGATTTCTTGCTTGAGGTGCTCGACCTGCTGGAGGAGCTGGTTCTTCTCGGACTCCAAGACGTGCCTCTGCTGGACCCGCTTGAAGCGGCAGGACTGGGCGTAGCCTCTGTTCTTGAGGGTCCGCCGCTTCTGCTTCAGCCGGATCACCTCTTCCTTGCTGACGCCGCGGAGCTGCCGGTTGAGCTCCCTCACCGACATGGTCACCAGCTGCTCGTCCGAGAAGCGGTCATCGAAGTGCAAGCCGTGGTGCGCGTGGTGGAGACCCCCGCCGCCGCCGCCGCCTCCCCCGGAGCCGCCGCTTCCTCCGGAGCCGCCGCTGCTGCTACTGCTGCTGCTGCTGGTGCTGCTGGCAGACGACTGCACGCTGCCCGGCGGCTGCTGGTGCGGGTGGTGGTGCGGCTGGTGGCCGGCGGCGTGGTGGTGGTGGTGGTGGTGGTAATGGGGCGCGCCCGGCCCGCCGCCGCCGCCTCCGCCGCTCTGCTGCGCCGCCGCCGCCGCGATCACGGCCGACACGACGGCGGCCGCCGAGCCCATCTCGTCGGGAGGCATGGAGCCGCCCGGGCCGGCGGCGGCGGCCAGCTGCTGCCCCCGGGCATAGCCCTCGAAGCCGGCGGCGCTCTGGAGCTGGTGGTGGCTGCTGTTGATGAGCGCTTCCACGGCGTCTTCCGGGCTGAAGCCCAGCGCCTCCGGGTTGAGCTGCTGCGGGTAGCCGGTCATCCAGTAGTAGTCTTCCAAGTGGCTCTTCTGGTCGCTGCCCGAGCCCGGGCTGGGCGCCGAGAAGCTGGGCGAGGGGGGCACCGAGCTGCAGGGCGTGCTCATCGGGGTGGACGAGAGCGAGCCCCCGGCGATCAAGCGGCCGCACTGGCTGATGATGCGGTCGGTCTCCACCGGCTCCTTTTTCACTTCAAACTTCATCAGATCGAAGTCATTAACATATTCCATGGCCAAGGGACTGGTGGGCAGGTCGGAGCTGTTCATTGCCAGGTCTGATGCCATCCTCTTGCTGGGGCCGCCGCCGCCGCCGCCGCTGCCGCTGACAGTCCTCCAGAAAGGGGGCACTCCGCCGGGCGCGAGGGGGCTGCTCTGGCTGGCGAGCGGGTGCGCCAGTTTGCTGGTTGGCGAGAGGCGGCGGGGCACGGGGCTGCTCTCCGGCGGCGGCGGCGGCGGCGAGTGCTGCTGCTGCGGCTGCGGCTGCTGCTGCTACGGCGCGGCTCTCTCGCTCGCCCTCTCTCTCCTCCAGCCCCTTTGCAACCTCCGCTCCAATGTGCAAAAGAAAAGGCAAGAGGCGGGCCCCCCTCCTTTGCAAAAGAGCGGCTCGGGGGCTCGTCCGTGCACCGCGGGCGGCTGCTTCTCCGGGTCTATTTATTTGCCTTTAGCATCTGGGCTGGATGCCTCTCTTTTTTTTTCTCCTCTCGCTCGCTCGCTCTCCCAACTCCCTCCCCCTTTCTCTCTCTCTCTCTCTCTCTCTCTCTTGCCTTCTGCAGCTTGCAAAAAAAAAAAAACCCGCTGCAATTGGAAATGTGAGTTCGTTGCAGAGGAAGATGGTTTTAAAAAAACAACACAATTGTTAGAGAATTTTTTTTGCTGTTGCTCTTGTTTAACACTTCATGGTGTTTCTTTCCCACTGGTCTTTTGTTTTTGTTTTTTTGCTTTTCTTTTCACGCCAAGTGCCCAAGCGAGGAGAGAGAGAGGTTCACCATCTGGGGAGGAAATTCCTCCGAAAACTGGAAATCAGCAATCGGTTATTTTTGCTTTGCTTTTTTAAAAAAAGGAATAAAATTAAAAGACTTGCAAACAAACAAACAAAAATCCCTCAGGTCAACGCGATAACCCAAAATAATGCCAATTTCTTTTTGGAAAAAAAACCCAAGGCAACTCAACATCCCAAGCGCCAACAACGAGAAGAAAAAATATTTTAAAGAGCTCATCCAGGAGGAGAGTTTAAAAGCATTGCTGAGTTTTATAGCGCTGTTGACGTCAAATGCGAAATTGACTCGCGCTCCCGACCAATCGGCGGCCGCGAACCCGGCGCTTATTAGCATAATAGTATAGAAACAAGGAAACTTTTCGAAGCTGTCAATCAAGAAGCCAATCAGCTGACTGTCAGCTGGGATGAGAATTTTTAACTCCTTCGCTGCCGAACCTGCTAGGATGGGATTCACCTCGGGAGGGGAGTCAGCATTAAAGGGGGGTGGGGTGGGAGAACCCCATTGAGTTTCTACCAGGGATTTATAGTAAAGAGTCTAGAAAATCCGGGGGGTCGTGGCTGAAGACAGATGGGTGTTTTCAATAGGCAAGGACGCTTCGAGCGCCGTTCCTCGTGCTGAAACCTCTCGAGGTGCCAGAGTCTTTTTGGGGGGGGGGGGGGGGGGGGGTTTGTCTTGCGCTTGCATTTCGCTTCTTGCAAAGCTGGTTTTCGCTCGCCGCTCTCGCCGCGCGCTCTCCGGCTCTTTGCCTTCTCGCGGGAGCGGTGCGCGCTGGCAGAAAACTCCCTTTTTCCCACGGCTGCTGGCGATCTGTGGAGAAACTCGCGATCAAGAGATCGACCGGGGAAGATCCATTTCGGTGGCTCAAGGTAGAGTTCGAAGACTGACGCCCGGGGCAGCTGGACGAGGCGGAGGGACTGGATGGGTCGTGGGAGCCCGGGGGGGGGGACAGAGTCTGGGGTCGGGGAAGAGTTAATCCGGACCTCCGATGCCCCCCGAGGAGGAGCCAGCCCGAGCCCCCTTCTTCCCTCCCCGCTTGCGAAGCTCAGTCGCGCGGCGGCCTCCGCTCCGGGGGCACCGAATGCACCGGGGCTTTTCTTGAGCCGGGGTCCGCGCTCCTCCCTGCCCAAAGTTCTTCAAGATCTCCCCGCCCGCCCCCGCCGATAGAAGAATCCACGAGATGTCAAAATGTGTGGGAACGTTTCTAATTGCCCGCTACAATGCTTTTTTTTGGGGGGGGGGGGGAACGGCTGGCCCCCTGCAATTCTGCACGTTTTAAAAAAAGTTTTGCGTAAACCTCCGACACATTTTCAAAAGTTTAAAAATTGTATATGAGCGGCGTTTCGTGGACCGAGAAGGGGGCTGAATAAAAAGACAGGTTTAAAAGAGTGGATCGTCGCAACCCGTGTGGCCAGATCTTCCCTGGAGGGAGCGCGGGGGTTGATCCATTAAATGAAAAATCAAAATTCACATGTATCCCCCCCCCCTTAGGAGAGGAGATGGGGAGGGGGGCTTTTAACCCACTTAAAAACGGGACGGAGCTGAAGGCAAATATCTAGCCTGGATGCGTTCAGTTTAAACCTCGACAGCGCCACCTTTCGGTACAGATCTGCTTCATCTTTGAATCGCTTCCAATTTTCTCGATGAAGGGAGGGGGGACTATAACAGTGTAAGTATGACAAGACACCCTGAAATTAACTCCTTAAAGACCGAGGAATACCTCCAGGACTTTGCACACCTTCCTCTAGCTGGCTGAATGCAGTTTTCAAATCCTATTTTTACCCGGCACCATCTCTCTGTATAGGAGATTAACCTGCAGTAGGCTTTGAGGAAGGAGACTTTAGACGTAACTGCCCCATGTGTGTTAAGACAAAAATCTTTAAAAGTGGCAACCTTTATTTTTTTTTAAAAAACCCTGACTTTATGGCAATATCAGTAGAATTAAAGTTACTTGTAATTTGGTGATAAATAAGATGCCTCTAGTTAGTAAGATTAAGTGCAGCACTATAAAGTTGTTTATCTGAAAAGTAATTCTCAGAAACTCGACAGCTGACACTTAGTCATATATTAAACCAGCCTTTTGAACATTGTACTTTGGTGCATGGCTTCTGCCTGCTTTCAGCATTTTCTCTTGGAAAATCTGAGTCTCACAAGTATGGAGTTTGTTTGGAGGGCCCGTCTCATTGGTCACAGAAGCCATCCTTTCCAGTAGCTACCCAAATGTCAGCTTATTACAGAATAGGTGGTTTGAGTATCCTGATGCTTCTCAGCCATTATGGTTGTGATCTGTACTATCCAATTTGGTCTCAGGCTCCTTGAGACAGTGTCTTGGCTCACATGTTGGCACAGAAAACTTAGACGGAGTCGCCACTGTAGGTTCCCAGGATTGCTTGGTTGGCAAAATGTAAAAATGCAGCGATCTATGGCAACATTTCAGAAATTGGACTCATGAGTTAAGTAAATGTGAAGTGTTTAGGTTTGATTTCCCAGTCTGAGAATCGTCAACAACGACAACAACCCCCCCCCCATACTTTTTCTCCATAAATCTCATCATGACAGGCTGAATTCCATCAATTTGGTTTCTTCTGCAGTAAGATAAATGTGGCGTGATAGATCGTTTTTTGCCTTCTGGCTGCTATGAATTACAAACACGTGTTAATACTTTAAACTGGGGGGGGAGGAGTTACGGCTCTTCTGGACTTACACTTGTAGCAGTTTTGTCGAATTGGAAACATCTCCTTCATCCCATAAAACAGTTCCCTTGCGCAGAGGTGTTTCAACGCACTTTCCTGCCCCTAAATTAGTGCTCCCCCCCCCTTGAGTAAGCTTTAAAGGATAGGCAGAGAATATTGTGGCAAATGGGCTGGGATGATATCTCCCCAACTTGATTGGGCTGCAGCCCTCAAAATATCAAGTCCAATTACTGCGAGGGCAGGATTCTTCTCATTTGACTATTTGAGGTGACTGTCAAGTGTAGTCTGCTGTGTAGTGCAGCACGGGGGTGGGGTGGGGGAGCGGAGAAGGAAGACGGTGCTCAGGTTTAAAGATAACCTTCTGAAGAAACACTACCACCTTCGTTCTTTCCACAACACAGAATTCTCATTTTGGCAGCATTTTGCTGTATTATTGAGATTCCCACAATGGATGTCTAAACATTTACAGTTCTCTATTAAGACTGTCTCTTCTCTAACAATTGCAGACTCTTCTTTCAATTAGAGCCATTCAGCCCTCTGTCTTTTTTGCAGCAATGACAGGCCAAATTCCCTCACTGTGCCTGCTCTCTCTCTCTTTTAGTTTCTTTGCTTCAAGCCTGTCTGTTAATCGACAGTCTGTAAGGCCCCTGCTTTAATAGTCTTTCTGCTTTTCAAGGACCTCTCCTTTCCCCCCCAAGAATGCACAGTCGGGGGTATCTGATTGTCAGAGACCAGTTTCAAAGGAGCGGCATTGAGCTTTCCAGACTGTGGAGAGTCTCTTTCGCGGCAGGCAAAGGCATTGCCAATTTGGCGGACTATGCAGTGTGCCACACACTGCACACACCACTCTGGCATAGCACCACACACCACTGTCGCTCAGTCCTCGGTGCCTGCCCAAGTATGCAGCAAAGACTTCCTTAGCTGAGCAAACAGGCAAAGGGAAGGTTTGGAAAAGTCAGGCGAGACACACCTCTTGTGAGTTATATTGACTTTGAGTGTCATTTGTTATAACTTAAGCAAACTCATCTGTCAAGGCCAACACATTAAGTACAGTTATGACTCCCTTTGTTTATCCAGGGCCTTATTTTATGGCGCAGAACCGAACTGTGCCCGCTGAAATTAAGTATGAAAAGCAATCCAATTGATTTCCTCAAGACTTCCACGGGGGAAGCGGACTAGCAGAGGCATCCCCTGCTCTTAGGCACACAGCTAGATAAATCCTTTTAACCGTGCTTCAGATCCCTTAACAGGGCAAGCAAATAACAAATCACTGTTAGCAGATTTATGGGAAAGAAATAATAGAATCAGACAAGATAATCTGATAGGGGTAAAATTGCTGAGGAAACAAGACCTCCACATCTGTGGCTATGAAAACAGCCTCCCGATAACTAGAAGCCATTACAAATAGGTGAATTATGAGGGGAAATAATCGTCCTCATAATTCAGTATTTATTAATCCTTTTCTCTTTAAACAATGTGCAGATGCCTGAGAAAATCCACCTCGAAGATCTATTCTCCATCCACGTATATGTATATAATATTTTCCCCCCTTCACTGGGTGTAATTTACTATTTGCATTACCTGTGTTTTATTTCATAATTGAGCATTTTGCATTCAAATTTATGTAATGCATTCGGCACGCCAACACATTTCTGCTCGATTAGCATAAATAGTCACTTCATGAATTACTAACAAAGTTGATCTGAAAAATATCGGCGTATTATTTTATTAAGTGGAACACAAACATATGTTCAATAAATTCTTGTTTGCTGGTGGCAGGAAGGAAGGCGCTGCGATCCCCGGCTGCGATGCAGTGTGGATGGAAGGAAAGAATAAGCTGAGTTAATTTATATGTATGAAATTAATTTGCCCTGTCAACCTTTCTGTTTATCTTTAATAAAGAAGAATGCCCAGGACTATTGTGATGCCAAGATTCACAAGGTGAGAAGAGACAGTGACTATAGCTTCCTTGCCATTTCTCCTTCCTGATTTCTTATATGGGCCTACATGATCCCGGAGCACAATGGGAATCTTTTAT